ATCACTCTCTCAAATTGAACACAAAACACTCCCAAAATCCGGAATCTCATGAAATCACAAGCTACAGAAGTACATAATGTATCTAATCTCCAGAAAGTCTAACAACAAAGAAAAATACAGGAATTCTGTAACTAACGGAGGAATAGAGAGGGACTTCTAGGTCTGCGGACGCGGTAGATATACTTCGAAGTCTCTCGATCACCTCGCCTCACTGGAAGTATGGCTGAGAAGTAGAACCTGGATCTGCACACGAAAAACATGTGCAGGAAAGGGCATGAGTACACCACAACGGTACCTAGTAAGTGCCAAGCCTAACCTCGGTCGAGTAGTTGACGAAGAAGGTCAGGGCCCTACTGGTTATATATATACAAAACAAGGTAAAAAGTATGAAATGTGACAGTATAGTTAAAATACTAATAGTCGAATAAGAATAACATCACAGAAAGAATATAACTCAGTACACGGAAATAGCAACAGGGGATCTCCCAGGATATCGTCCCCTAGTCCAAATTATTAATATGTAGGGGAATCTCCGGAATACGGATCCGTAGTTCCAAAGTAATTATCCGGTACAGGGGAAATCTCCTGGGATATCATCCCGTAGTCCCAATTATAAATGTGTATCGGGATCTCCCGGAATGCCGATCCGTAGTCCCAAAGTAAACATGCAGGGAGATCTCCCGGAATACCGATCCATAGTCCCAAAGTAAACACACAATAGTCTCAAGAAAGAATCCTACAATTCTATTCAAGTTTGTATCAGGGAATTTCTACTCTACACATGCTACACAAAAATCCAAGTAAGCAGTTTAAGCAGGTAAGACAGTTAAGCCACATAAGCATGCTTTACCAAGCTACATAGGAGGCTTTGTATACTAGTGTTACTCAGTTAAAAGAAAAAGTAGATATTTTCTTAATGAAAATAAGGTTTTTCAACAATTAGAACATGTACACACTCGTTACCTCACGTACGCAACATTCATATAACAATAGTACCAAAATCCTAAGAGGAGTTCCCCCACACAAGGTTAGGCAAGTCACTTACCTCGAACCAGCTCAAAATCAATCTAAAATTACGCTCTTACCATGAGTATCCAACTCCGAGTGGCCCAAAATCAATTTCATAGAGTAAATATAACTACAAACAATGAGTTTATCTAAAGGAATCGAAACTAAGGCAAGAAAATAGAAAATTGACCAAAAATCCTCCCCGGGACCATGTCTCAAAATCGGGTAAAAGTCACAAATTATGAATACTCATTCACTCACGAGTCTAACCATACCAAAATCACTCAAATCCGATACCAAAATCTCGATCAAAATCCCAAAATTTGGCCTAAGAACTTTCCTCAATTTTTCATTCCAAATTCCGAAATTAAATGATAAAACTAACAACAGATTAATGTATTAGAACCAAATTAGAAGTAGAATTCGTTACCCAATCTTTCTCCTTCCAAATCTCTCTAGAAATCGCCCTCTACCGAGCTTCAATTCGATTGTTAGAGTTATGAACTCAAACCCTCGATTTTTTCTCTTTTCTGCCCAGCAATTTCCACTTCTGCGAGGGGTTAACGGCACCTGCAGTCCCGCTTCTGTGGCCAATACTCCGCACCTGCGGAATTTCATTAAACTACCAGATTCCACACCTGCGGCCCTTTACACGCAGATGTGGTTCCGCTTCTCCGGTCCATGGGCTGCATCTGTGACCACTTCCCTTATGCCTTAGACCACACCTGCGGTTTCCTAACCGCTTCTGCGGCACTGCACCAGCGGTCCAAACTCCGCAGGTGCGAAACCAACAGGTTCAGCAATTTCCTAAGTCCAATTCAACTTCCGTTAAGCATCCGAAACTCACCCGAGACCCTCGGGAACTCAACCAAACATGGAAACCAATCTTAAACATCATACGAACTTAATCCAACCCTCGAATCACATCAAACAACACTAAAACCGCGATTCATCCTCCAATCCAAACCTAATGGACTTGAAATCTCAAGAATTCTACAATAGATGCCGAAACCAACCAAATCACGTCCGATTGACCACAAATTTTGCATACAAGTCACATTCAAGACTACGGAACTATTCCAACTTTCGGAATCGGATTCTGACCCCAATATAAAAATCTCAATATCGATCCAGAAACTTTAAAAATTCAACTTTCGGCATTTCAAGCCTAAATAAGCTACGGACATCCAAAACACAATCTTAATACGCCCCTAAGCCCGAAATCACCTAACGGAACTAACAGAATCAACGAAATTTTATTTCGAGGCCGTCTTCACACCATTCCAACTACGATCCAAATTCTAAAACTTAAGCTCTCATTTAGGGACTAAATATCCCAAAACACTCCAAAACTCGAAACGAATCTTCCCGGCAACTCACAATAGCAGAAACAAACACGGGAAAAACAGTTAATAAGTGATCGGGGCATTAATTCTCAAAATGACCGGCTGGGTCATTATAGTGTTAGTACGAATATGGTACATAAAAGAAACAATTATACTACAATAAGGAAAATTAAAATTTATCACTCGGTGTGTGAATTATGCAAATGTGGCGACCTCCAAGCTGCTGCATTGAGGAGAAATTATGTCCTCGCTCCTCATTCATCCGTGGAGATAAGTTTATCCAGACTCTTTCATATGGAACCTGTTCAGATAAAATAGCTCCAAAAACACCACCAAATGATTGAGTGTTATCCATATTTTGCAGAATCAATATTGTTGACGTATTCAAACTTGACGTACATTTCCAACATTTTTATCACAAGAACATCCCGGTGTTCATCCAGAGTCCTCAAAAATCTTGCAGAGTTTCATCGTCTTCAATGTTAAACACGACATAACAAACAACTCCTTGCGGAGTAAGCGAATAAGGATATCTTCTGGTTATCTTAATATTAACCCAACGTTTATGCATACTCGTTCTTTTACAAATCAAAGATACCAATCTGTCGTACTCAAATATGAGTGGAAACTTAACAATACTCTATGGAGAACAACTATAGTATACCGAGTTATTCTCCACCACAATCTCGCCATCCCAATATAATGCAACCCTAATTTTTTGCTCTTCAAACATTGTAGCAAAATTCAAAAAATATACTATGAAATGATATAAAGGATGCTGAAGAATAATTTTTAGAAGAACAAATTTTCATCCTGAAGTAAAAGGGGATGACAATTGGTAAGTATATACATATAGTGCATATAATATATTAACGGGTAACTGGCCGTTAAGATATAACGCATTAAAAACTTATTGATGCAGATTTGGAATCTGTAGCTAATCTGGGTTGTACAAAGAGCTCGTGTCGTAGTACTTAGCAGTTAAATTAGTTAAGAGGGTCCTGTAGGTGAAGTTCTGAGTATGAACAATTGAGGCCTGTTATTTAAATGCAAGTTTTGGTAAAGACACATTGACCCCGTTACTTGTTAATTGTAGGATCTGGGGGTCCATTAGGATTGTTAAACTCTTTTGTCTTTTAGCTAGTAGTGGAGTATATATCCTCTGTAATTGGACGCTAAAATCATATATGAGAATATCCTTGTTTTACTTTCTTTTTCTCTTCCTTAGCTAGCTGTAGATTTAGCCCTAAAAACTAGCTGCCGCATCAGTGGTATCAGAGCATCCTTCCAATCTGTGGGATAATGTCGACGGAAATAAACAAGGTGATGAATCTGTTGCAGAAAATGTCAACAGTCATGTCCAGTTTTGTAGCTAGACAAAACCAATTAGAAGCTAACCATGAGCAGAGTTTTAGAGGTCAAGAAGAATCCCTGAGCGAGATCAGGAGTGTGCTCAACGAGGTTATTCATGGAGGCAAGAGACCGGAAAGAGATAAGAATGTTAGCTGCACGGGAGAGGAACTGTACTCCCCAACTGATAAGCCATTCGATTTTGGTGAGTTATCTACTCCCTCTACTACTGGGGTTAGCATTCCTGTGGGGGTAAGTGGGGGTGTAATGCCTACTGTGCTATCACCTGTTAATGAGTAAGTACAAGAATTCTTAAAACCAGCCGGCCCTAGCCACCCTCCACTAGGTCCTCTAACTCATGGATCTATTACACCAACCCAACCCTTTCAATCGTTTGTTAAACAATCCTTACCATTCCCTACTCAAGGCAGTCAACCAAACCACTCATCCTTCACAAGGATTAGCCAAACATCTCCACAACCCTTTATTGGTCCACCTGAGTTAGGTAGACCTGCTTATCCCTACCAAAACCAGCACCAAGGGTAGGCTAATAACCACCCAGTACCACCCCACTTACACCCTCAACAAACACATTTTCTATCAGCCTATAATTCCCCTAACACACATGTCCCTCCTTCTCTATACCATCAGCTTCCATACATACCTCAATCACCACCAACTCCTCATTACCATAATACACCTGTAACCAACAACCCACAACTAAACCATAATAACCACAATGTTCCCTTACCTAGGATTCCATTCACTAAGTATTCCAAAGTTGAATTTCCCAAGTTTGATGGGGAGGACCTAAGGACCTGGTTATATAAGGCAGATTAGTTCTTTGTTGATGAAGAAGTCACAATACAACAAAGAATGAAACTGGTATCCTTACACTTTAAAGGGGATGCATTACAATGGCACTTGGGAGTAGGGGCAATTACCCTTGCCTAGCTAGGAAGAATACATTTGGGCCCTATGTGATAGTTTTGGTGCTGAATATTTAGACCCCATGACAGAGATCATGAATATTAAGCACACTAGTTCAGTCAAGGAGTACTAGAAGGCTTTTGTAGGGGTAATGACTAGGTTGGATATATCAGTGGAACATGCCATCAACATATTTTTGCACAATCTTAAGCCTGAATTAAGTCACGCAGTCAAGGTGGGGAACCCATGTACCCTGCCTCAAGCATATTATCTAGCTAGACTCCATGAGGCTAGTTTTGCTGCCCAAAATAAGGCCATAAAGGCCTTGTCAACAGGAACTCTTGGAATAGGAGTCAAGGCACAAACATGCAGTCCAGAAACAATGCTATTATACCAAGGAAACCTACTATAGTTAAGTTTGAGAACACTAAGAGGAGGAGACTCACTCCTGTAGAAATGGAAGAAAAAAGGGCTCAAGGCTTATGTTTCTTTTGTGATAAAAAGTATGTGGTAGGACACAAATGTCAAGCTAAAAGGCAGCTCTTCTCATTAGAAGTGGAGGAGTGTGGAACCATAGAAGAAGAACAAGTAACAGAGGGAAAAGAGGAAGAAGAAGAAGCAATAGAGGTAAAGGTTTTGGAGAATTGTGCCATATCATTGCAGGCTTTGAAAGGGACAATGGGGTACCAAACTCTGAGACTCAGAAGTTTTATGGAGCAACAGCCTTTAGAGATATTTATAGATTGTAGATCAACACACAATTTTATAGATGAATACACATCTAAAAGGCTAGGGTGCAAAATCAGTAAAATAAAACATCAATTGGTCCAAGTAGCAGATGGAAGGGAAGTGCCTACAGATAGTATGTGTAAGGGATTCCAATGGTTGATGCAAGGGACTGTGTTTCAAGACGATTTCTTAGTGTTTCCTATTGGGAAAAGTGATTTATTCCTTGGCATTCAGTGGCTATATCCTTTAGATGACATCAAGTTCAACTTTAAGAAGTTATTGATGGAGTTTGAGTACCAAGGTAAGTTGTTGACCTTGAGAGGAATACAACCTAAGTTCAAAACTATGAAGGCTAAGTCATTGGAGAAAATAGTAGTGGGGGGTTCTCAACTCTTCATGGTAAAGGTACATGCAGCAGGAACTGAAAGCACAGGGGTGAAAGAAGGTCAGATAGAGGAGCAACCTACAGAAGTTAAAGGGTACTTGAGAAGTATGCAGAGGTGTTTGGAGAACCAACTCAGTTACCACCTTCGAGGGGTGTTTTTGACCACCATATTCCACTATTGGAAGGCACATCACCCATGAATTCCAGACCCTACAGGTATTCTCCCCTCCAGAATGATATAATTGAAAGTATGATCAAGGAAATGCTGAAGCAAGGGATTATCCAGTATAGTTCAAGCCCTTATGCCTCACCTGTAGTATTAGTAGGAAAAAAAGATGGCTCGTAGAGGTTGTGTGTAGATTACAGAGCATTGAACAAGGAAACTGTGAAGGACAAATTCCCAATTCCCATCATAGAAGAGCTGCTGGATGAGCTAGGGGGATCTCAAGTCTATTCCAAAATAGAATTAAGGGCTGGCTATCACCAAAAAAGGATGGCTGAATCAGATGTTCATAAAACAGCCTTTAAAACACACTCGGGACATTATGAGTACTTGCTCATGCCATTTGGTTTGATCAATGCACCCTCAAGCTTCCAAAGGTTAATGAACCATGTATTCCAAAATTATCTCAGAAAGTTTATTCTGTTTTTTTTTATAATATTTTGGTTTACAGCAAGAGTATGGAAGAGCACCTTCAACACCTAGAGATGGCATTTGAATTTTTGGTGCAACATCAGCTTTTAGCCAAAAAAGCAAATGTGTTTTTGCTGCTGAAAGGATAGAGTATCTGGGGCACTACATTGCAGCAGACGGGGTGTCTACTGACCCAAGAAAGGTGGAAGCTGTGAGTCTATGGCATGAACCTCAGACAGTGACCCAATTGAGAGGATTCTTGGGCCTAGCAGGGTACTATAGAAGATTTATTAGAAACTATGGAATCATTAGCAAACCTTTGACTGACATGCTTAGAAAGGACAGTTTCTTCTGGAGTGAAGATGCTAAGGCAACTTTCCAGCAACTCAAAGAATCACTGACCACTGCACCAGTCCTAGCCCTTCCTAACTTTTCATTGGTATCTGTGGTTGAAACTGATGCATGTAATGTAGGGATTGGGGCTGTTCTAATGCAGAAGGGGCATCCTATTGCATTTCTCAGTAAAGGGCTCACCAAAAGACATCATTCACTATTTGTTTATGAGAAAGAATTGCTGGCATTAGTGCTAGTTGTGAACAAGTGGTCTCAATACCTAACAGGTAGGTCCTTTATTGTGAGGACAGATCAGAAGGCACTTAAATTCTTATTAGAACAAAAACTTCACACAGGAACTCAACTTAATTGGATTACCAAATTGATGCAGTTCAATTTTGAGATTGAGTATAAGAAGGGAAGAGAGAACAAGGCAGTTGATGCACTATCAAGGCTTCCCACTGTTAACTTATCTGCTATGACACTTTCCACTGCAAAAACCGACCTATTAGAACTAATAATGAAGAGCTGAGATAAAGATGAAGAATTGGTAGCCTTGGTACAAACACTGAAGGGAAGGGAGCTGAAACTAATACTTATACCTGCATTCATGGTCAACTAAGAAGGAAGGGAAAATTAGTAGTGGGGCCTGACCAACAACTGAGAAGGGATATCATTAAGCTGTGGCATGATTCTCCAGTAGGGGGACATTCTGGTATTGATAATACTTATAAAAAGTTGGCAGTACTCTTCTGGTGGAAAGGAATGAAATAAGAGGTCCAGAATTATGTAAGGGCCTGTGATACCTGTCAAAGAAACAAATATGACAATGCACCCTACCCAAGGCTGTTGCAACCTCTCCAGATTCCAGTAGCAGCTTGGAGTAGTATAAGTATGGATTTTATAGAAGGTCTGACTAAATCAAAAGGAAAAAATGTGATTTGGGTGGTAGTAGACAGGCTTACAAAGTATGCTCACTTTATTAGTTTGTCTCACCCATATTCTGCTCAGGACATAGCTAAACTGTTTATGGAGAACATCTACAAGCTACATGGGATGCCAGAGGACATTACCAGTGACAGAGACCCCATTTTTACAAGCAAGGTATGGCAGGAACTATTTTCTATCCTAGGAGTAACTCTGAATACCTCAACAACATACCACCCACAAACAGATGGGCAGACAGAGGTTGTGAATAGATGTGTGGAGACTTATCTGAGGTGCTTTTGTTCAGCCTCTCAAACTGATTGGGCTCAATTCTTGGCAACAGCTGAATGGTGGTACAATACCAACTTTCATACTTCAATTCAAAGCACACCCTATGAGGCCTGTATGTCCAACCTCCTCCTATACATCTACCCTATGTGGCTGGGGATTCAGGAATAGAAGAGGTAGATAGAATCTTTCTAACCAGGTAATTCAAGGGGCAACTGCTCAAGTATCATCTAAAGAGAGCACAGCAATGAATGTTGGCTCAAGCCAACAAGTACATGTCCGATAGGCAATTCAAAGAGGGAGAATGAGTCTATCTCAAAATCCAGCCATATAGGCAAATCTCCATGTCAGGAAAGCCTTTTTCCAAGCTATCTGCTAGGTACTATGGACCTTATCAAATCCTACAAAGGGTAGGACCTATAGCTTATAAGCTTTCACTCCCACCTCAACTCCTCCTACACCCTACCTTCCATGTATCTCAACTTAAGCTTTGCTATAAACTATCAGGCACTATTTCTCACCCACCAATCATAGACCTCTCAAGTCCTTATTGTCCTCTACCTGAGAAAATCTTAGAAAGAAGAATGATTCAAAAGGAAAACAAGGATGTGGCCCAAGTCCTAATACAATGGAAGCAGGTACCTATTGAGTGTGCCACCTGGGAAGACTATCGAGCTCTGAAAATACGTTTCTCAGCTTTCCTTCCTTGAGGATAAGGAAGATGTTAAGGAGGGGAAACTGATGCAAATTTGGAATATGCAGCTAATCTGGGTTGTACAAGGAGCTTGCGTCGTGGTACTTAGCAGTTAAATTAGTTAAGAGGGTCTTGTAGGTGAAGTTTTGAGTATGAACAATTGAGCCCTGTATTTATTTAAATGCAAGTTTTGGTAAAGACATATTGACCCCGTTACTTGTTAATTATAGGATCTTGGGGTCCATTAGGATTAGTTAAACTGTTTTGTCTTTTAGCTAGTAGTAGAGTATATATCCTCTGTAATTGAATGTTGAAATCATATATGAGAATATCCCTGTTTTACTTTCTTCTTCTCTTTCTTAGTTAGCTGTAGATTTAGCCCTAAAAACTAGCTGCCGCATCACTTATGTTATATATAAAAAAAGTCATCAGTAGTTTTTTCTACCCATTTTTGTGTCTTGAGTCCAAAAATGCTATCATTTTGGTTCCGGACTCTCTAAAAACGCCATTGGTGAGTTATTCTTTTTTTTTTTTTTTTTTTTTTTTTTTTTTTTTTTTTTTTTTTTTTTTTTTGTCTTTCCCTTGTAAATGTTTGGCATTCGCTTCTGAGGTACCATTTCACTTCTTCCTTACTGGTCGATTTCGACCTTTCGTATCCAAGGTTGATACGTTCTCCTTGGCATCCCTTCACCTTCTTTCGGTTCAACTAGATTGGGGCTGTGACGATTCAACTAGCTGTACAGATTCAAAAAAATTCCTATATATACACTAAACCCTACAACAGTACCCTCCAACCCAAATCCCCAAGCATGGCGATGAGCAGTGTTGAGAAACTACCCGAAGAGATCATATTTGACATAATTACCCGGCTGCCTGCAAAGTCCGTAGGTCAATTCAGGTGCGTATCAAAGCACTGGTGCAATTTTCTTTCAGACCCGCAATTCATCAAAGCTCACCTCAATTTTCATGCCCACCAACATGAAGAAAAACTCATTTGTATTCCTGGTTCTCAGGCTCTTCATGCTATCACTTTTAACCACGACCCCCAAAATAGAATCAATCCCCTTTCAAGAAAACTTAATTTTCAGGGGCTCGCTGACAACTGGAAAAGAGTTGTTGGCTCATGTAATGGCTTGGTCTTGGTGCTGAATGAGGAAGATATTCCATTTTAAATCAATCCGACAACCTTAGAGTATCGTAGAATTCCAACCTCTCCTCTGGCTCTTCCTAAGTCTGGTGCCTCTAGCACGTATGCTCTAGGCTATGATTCTGTTAGTGACGATTATAAGGTGGTTACTCTTTCTTATTATAAGAATGATATATCCTGTACTTTTGTAGATGTTTACTCTGTGAGAATGTGTTCATGGAGGCGACTTGAGAGCTTATGTACTGATGGTGCAATTCCTAGGCACGGTTTTGCGGTTTTGGTAAATGGGGCTTTGCATTGGTTGGCTGGCAAATCTTTTGCATCTGCAATTGTTGCTTTTGGTTTAAGTGATGAGAAATTCTTTGAGGTGCCAATGCCTATTGATGACAATCATTATCCGTGTCATGATTTTGTGGGTCTTAGAGGGTGCCTTTGTCAGGTGGCTAATGTTAAACTAATAGCAAACAAAGTCGATGTTTGGATCATGAAAGAATATGGGGTTGCAGAGTCTTGGACCAAATTTAGTGTTACAAGACAAAATTTAGCTTTCACTCCGTTGTGCTTAATAAGTGATGATGATATTGTATTTGATGTGTGTGGAGAAAAGAAGTTGATTGTCTACAATAAGAAAGAGGAACAGTGGAGAGATTTGAATGTTGATGGAATAATTGCTAAGTTTGCAAGGATTAGAACTTTCACGGAGAGTCTTGTCTCTCCTATGTTTGGCCTTGATGCAATATTCTGAGATGATGTTATACTCAGGTATTACATCATATTTTCATAATTTCTTATTCATTTTTAGTTTATGTTTTTTTATTAGGTCCTCATATTTGCTTCAATAAAATAAACTCATATTTTATGAAAGGTAACTCTTTTGTTCTCATAGAGTTGTGTGACCGGTAATTCTCTCGTCCTCATAGAGTTTGTGATGGTAATTCTTCAATCCTGAAGAAGATATATTGCATTTCATGAAAAGGGAAAAACTGGGATTCGTCGCTTGCATTAATTCAACATCATAAAATGCTAGTGCTTTAAGGGAAAAATAGTTACATTTTGAGCATACACTGTCTTGAAAAGAGTAGTTTGCAGACCTTTTGACTCTTCTTTGACTCATGAGCTAACCTCACAATGAACTAATGTAGTATTGTGGCCACTTCTGTGCATACTGTTTTGAAGCAATCTGATGGTAGAAGTCTTATCTAGCTTCTCTATATACATAGATAACATTTCGTAAATTAAAACAAAAGAACAGAAAATTAAAAATACAAAAAAAAAAAAAAAAAAAAAAAAAAAAAAAAAAAAAATTGGGGCAACTAAGTAAATTTCTAGATAAGTTGGGTTGAGATTCTTTGTTTTGAGTGAGTTTCATGGGTTGTATTTGGGCTGTTAAATGGGTCAGAATAGACTATAAAAAATAATGGGTTAACTTGGGCTCAATCCAAATTGACCCATGAGCTAAAATGTTTGTAGCCCAACCCATTAATCTCTGGGCTAGTTGGGCAGGTTAGATGGGTTTGGGCTCAAATTGTCACCCCTAGATAGGATGGTTTATCACTGATTGTCTTGTTTTCCTGCAAATTATTCAAAAGCCACTCTATTTTGTTTGCATAGCAAAACTGTGGTTGCAACCTTGACAAATAACAGTTTCAACAGTATTATGAACGCTGTACCTTTAGCCAAATCCGTTACTTATAATGAATGTTGCTGGTTTTCATATTTATTCTTCTGAGGTTGCTATCATGTTACAACATGTAATCTACAGACGTGTTGAGGGTACATGTTAGCCTATGCATTTGTCTGTTAAGTGTAATGCAGCATAACATCCATTTGACACTTGGTCTATGCCTTACGCAGGGATGGATATATCTGCTTCTATGGAATTGATTGTTAGAGAACTTGGACAGACTCATTGAGGCCTGGATTTCAATATATTTTTAGTTCCAAGACTGTTGCTCTTTAATTATGATGTTATAAAATGGATACTATTTAAGATCTTAAAAAAGATTACTATCGTAGAAGTAGAGTTTTTGAAATAGATTTGCATTTATGATTTGTATACTGTTTAGTATACAAAGGATAGCTCTGTAGCACCGTCAGGAGAATACTAGTTGATTATTCACATATCAGTTGTGTTTCTCAAATCAGATGAATTGATGCTCTTAGTAACTATGGTTTTGGTGGTGAATGACTAAGATTTTACCTTAGCATTTAAGCAAATTCCTCCCACTATGGGGATTGACCAAGTTGCTAGTTTTACTATTTCATGGAAAAAAGGGTATGATCCTATTACTGATGATTACAAGGATTTTATGATTTCGTATGACATATACAACGAACATGAAGCGGATATTACACACACTTCCATTGATATTACTCTTCAAAAATGGATTCTTGGAGTTGGCTTGAGGGTTCTTGATATGATCATGTTGGTATCTATAGTTCAGGAGCAATACAACACAGCTCAAGGGCTTCAATGGCAGCTCAGGGATAATGCAGAAACTAAGCAACAAGCCTGTGACAAATGAACAAAACATAGCATATGGTATATATTGATATTGCACTGTGAAGAGTACACTTTCTTATCCATACAATTGAAACTCACCTCACTGCTGCTACTGTAAGCTTCTAACATGTGCTGCCATTGCTAATTTTCTCATTATCCGCTTTCCTAAGAACTAAGCAGCATATAATTTTCTTACATGCACCCCTGGTCCCAGAGACCAGTCCCCACATTTGTGCTACATTCTCCTGTAACTTGCATGCCAAAAGATACCCCTTGAAAACCACCAAATAGGACCATAAACTTCTTTCTAAGCCAAGTGGATAGTTATTCTCTCATCAAAATAGACTGTAATTGAGGTGAACCAACTATGCTATAGTTGGAAAAAGATTCTCAACTCACTAACATTACATAAATGAAACAGAATGCATGATAATACTTTCAGAACCTAGAGGTCAAAATTAGATAACATGTTATCTATGTGCAACTAACAAAGTGGAACAGAGCCCATCGGCGTGCTTCTATCACTTCCCCAAAGAAATGCAGTAGGGCCTGAGTTCTATTAGCTCGATGAAACCACCAATCAATCAATTACATGCACCTTAATCCAGAGTTCCAGACTAGCTGGACTATATGAACTCTCTGTATCCAGTCCCCGCCCTGTTTGCACGGTTTCATCCGTTTCTCAAGCTCAATAAAACTATATAAGAACAAAAAGCAAAAGGCTAAAACTAAAAAAAAAGAAAAACATGGTATCTTGTTCTTAAAAGTGTACAAGATAGCTACTACACCAACACAAATCTTTTGAATAATACTATTCAAATCTAGGTGAATATTCTCATAGCAAGATTTCAAATACCATCCAGTAGGCTATTATAGATATCTAAGCTTCACATTTCCAACAGGGACATTGAGTTGGAATCATCCAAATGAATCTTAGTGACAGATACTTTTCAAACTGTGAAACCTCTAATAAATTTCTCAATAATTTGTAAAATACCTTTACTAATAGAGGAACCCTGCATGAAGTCCTCGTAAGTTGGGCATGTCAACTTTGGCTGCCTGACTTTGCTCTTGTTTGATAGGATATGCAGAGTGCACTAAATTAGCAGCATAATTACTTCTCCAAGAAAAAGAAAAATTAAGATTAGCAGCATATGAGGCACTCATTAACTAAATTTGGACAGAATAGTGTTAACAAGGGACACATCTGATTCTTTGATATGGATGGCTAACAACAACAACAACCCAGTAAAATCCCACTAACCAGGTCGTGAGGCTTTCCCAATAAATGTTTTCTATTTATATTCTTGTCTCTTAGAAAGAGCGGCTAAACGATCGGACCAGAGAGGATAGCTTGACCGCCTTGTCCGTGTTTGGAACACAAGCGAGAGACATATCGGCCTATATTCCCACCAATGTGATCTCCGAACAGATACACACTAACCCACCTGAAATAAGGTAAAAGCCTTCTTTCCAACCCTTTATATGAGACTCTTAGCTGATTAGCTATCTAAAGCAGTAGAGGAAGGAAGCAACAATGGTCCTGGAAGCTGTTGTGGAGAACTTATGCCCCAAAAAAGTGGCTATGTTTGGATGGCTAGCAATTAATGAAGCTTGCCTTACACAACAAAATCTTTAAAGGAGGGGAATGCAGTGTGTGATATTTTTGCAAAGAAAATTGGGAGATTACCGGTCACCTTCTTCTACATTACAGATTTATATGGCAGATCTAGTGCATGCTCCTCAATCTATTTGGAGCAGTAAGNAGGGAAGCAGAATACCCTATGGATAAGATACCTCCATGCATATTTTGGACAGCTTGAATAGAAGGAAGTCATAGGAATTTTGAGGATAGGTTCCAGTCCTTATTTTTATGAAGTCTATTTGTCTACAGAACTTAAATTCTTGGTGTAAAAGGAAACCTGTAGGAAATAGAAGATATATTGGAATTCATGAATTCCTTATGTACTTGAGGGGATGAATACATAACACTTTTGGTAACATGATAGGTACCAACTTGGTCCTATTGACATCAATAAATTTACTTTTCACCAATCAAAAAAATATCTCCAGTACTACCTTCACTCTTCTTAGAAACACATTTGTGCAGCAATAAGAATCCATCCTTTAGCAGCGTCCGGTAAAAAATGAGAATAGCAAAGATTATAACCTCAAAGAAGGAAGAATGCACCAAACCAGATGCCTCCAAATCACAACGGCAACCAAAAATGAACAAGGAGAACATACAATATGAATTCAATTATGCCTCCCATTGAAATTTATATAACTTAAAAAGATTATGTCACAAGAACACTATGACAAATGAAGGAATACAATAACCAGTGTTCTAACACAGGCGTAAATAACAAGTACATCGTGGCACATATCGTGAATAAGTGGTACAAAAATTTAAGGTAAAAGCGCATCCTAATCTCGACTTTAATGCATCCCTTTCTTGTGCATTCAAGAAGATGACGGTACCTTGACAGCTTTAAACGGTGGGTGAAGTAAACCAAGTTCATCGTTCACTTCAAGCGGATTGCTTGTTTCGTTCCGTGTTCTCTTAACTCTCCTACTACCAAGAGATTTATGAGTGAATCCATACATCTGAAGGATCTGGTTGTCGCCAAAGTTGAAAGCACGATCCATTTGCTTCAAACACCTCTCTACCGAATAATCTCCAAACTTTGCACAAGGCTTGCAACCCACAAAGTGAGTAACAAGGGGCCACCTATGGTCACCAAGACCCGGGTGGTAATTCTCAATCATCTCTTCATATTTATCCACCAAAATACCCCAGTAACCGTGCAAGTAATAAGCACTCTCGAGATACACCTTATCACCCCATTTCTCCTTCTGAGTAGCCAATATATATACCATTGCAGACTGATCATCAGCTTCGAAAACTGGTCTACCTTTAAGCTCCCTAGTAAGAACCGCCCCGGCTTCATCCCTAATCTTTCCCTTTGGTCCCATAGGTGCCAAAGTATCAAGCAAATCTAAAGCCCATTGAGTATTCCTCAATAAGAAACTACCAGTATTCAAGCCAATCCAATTCTTCTCATTATAAACCATATCATTCCATCCATGCATAACAAGATCAACATCTTTATACCTTTCCCAAGGCAGCTCAAAAGCCATATCAGTAAACATAGCATCACTATCCATCCACCAAATAAACTCAACCTCAGGATGTGAAAGCAAAATCTTCCTAAGCAAAGGCAATTTAGCCCAAAAACCAGACATTTCAGCATCAAGCAAAGCCATATTGTAAAAAATCTCAATCCCATGAAGCCTACAATAATCAATCTTGTTCTTTATTGACTTCAACAAGTAATGATCACCAATTGGATTTTCACATGGTTTAGGTGATGAACCAGTAACCAACAAAACCCTAGGCTTATTTGGTCCTACAAAATTAGGAAAATTAAGATTCTTTTTCAACCACTCAGCTCTTTGCTCATCCCAATCTGATATTTTAGGACCAAGATTATAAGGTTCATTTGGATCTCTCTTAAACTCAGGTTCACCATCATCTTCATCAACTAAAATTTTCTTTAAATCAAAAGTAGCATAATTATTACTATCTGATGATGTAGCAGTAGCACCACCACCACCCTCAGTTGCAGTATCTACCTGTTGTGCTTCCTCAAGAACGCGTCTGGGCTCCACGCGCTTTCGAACATAGCTAAATGTGTCACGAATTTCCTTCAAATCTTGACCAGGTGTACCAAATTTTCCAGCACCCAAATTGCCTCTAAGGACAACAATGGTAAGAAACAAACATAAAAATGTAAGCTTTCCATTTCTTACAATTCTCCTTACTTGCCATGCTCTACGAGCACTCAAGAACCGATCTAACATTTTATTTTTCTTAAATACCCAGAAGCTGAAATGGAATAAAAATCAAATCTTGATGGGGAAAAGGGGATAAAAATCAAATCTTGGAAAGTTTTTACTAGGAAATTGATACAGAAATGGAAAGTTTGGTTCTTGATTTCATTTGGGTAATGAAATTTTGGGAAATTGGGTGTTTAAAAATGGAGATTTAGACAAGATCTGAGGTGGGTTTATGAGGAAAAGAAGGTGTCGGTGGATGTAAGAAAAATAGAGATGGAGATGAAAAAAATGAGAGGAAAGAATGTACTGTATGCTTTATGATTCCGACAAGATTTAAAATATTTTATTTAAGTTAAATTATTTTAATCATTTAATGAAATGATTTATTAATTAATTACAGTCTGGATGATACTACGCGTAGTGGGAGAGTAGTGCTGTGTTGTTTCCTTTTTTCCATTTTATTTTCCAATTTTAGTCTTCGGCAGGTAGACAGCAAGTTCTAGTGAAAGGTCCACATATACATGTGTACGTAATAATATATTTTACTTTCCAAGCTTATGACATATTGCCATTATAAGCTCTGCATTAATACTAGTATTGTTTGTGAAGATTATATGAGCAAAACAAAGTTTTATATCGAACATTGAATAAGTAAAACAATCTTTTATATAGAGATTAATAAGTTTTTATTCCAAATTAATCGACCTTCACTTTTTTAGCTTATAGAAATGCATGTCTAAACTGTTTAGATCATATACACTTATTACGTGTAACACGGTT